TAGAAAATATTTTTTGTTATAATTAAACTAGCAGAGCTGTATTTTTATGCTCTATTAATATTGTAGATCTTAATAATTGAATTTATATAAAATAATGAATGAAATCAGAATGATTATCAGATTATTACACTGATTACTGTAACAAATGAGATATAATAAATTTCTCAATGATTGCACACATATTAGCTGTATAAATATTAACATTTTAATTTTATTCTTTTTAGAATATGGTTATTACATTTTTTTCTTTTTACATAAGCATTGCACTCTCTAAGCAAACTTGTTCCGAAATTTAGATTCTTTTCATATAGAAATGGAAATGGTTAGTATTTTGGTAATGAAGATTAGCCATTAGATATCTTTGTAAAAAGTAAATTAATATCACCTAATAGTTCGAAATTGGAATATTTAATTATAAGCAACTGCAATATATATTTCAGTTAATATCTTTATCAGATTTCAAGGAATAGTAGCTTCAAAGAGTTCAAATCTGAAACTAATTTTTGTTCTGTGTTTTAACTAAAAAGCTAAAGATAATATCAAATGAAAATATTGCAATATCAAATATCAACACAAATAGATAAAGTGTAAATATATTTTAAAATATGCATAATAATAAAAATATGATCCTTCAATAACTTTAAGTACAATTATTACCTTAGCATTTTGTTTAAAAGCATTAAAAGAATCATTACTGTAGTCACAGTAATTCCAACATTCAAGTATAATTCTGTCTGGTTGGTGAAACAACACAACACAGCTTTTAACACAATGATATTTTTTCAAATGAATAGTATAAAATAAATAATATTTCACTGTTATTTGAAGTAAAATCCAAGATATCTCTAAAAGAAGATCAGTTTTAATTTAATTTGGGCCAAATTTTTTAACCTATCTACTTGATAAATATCACTAACTAAAATGTACATGTTAATGCATCAAGTGACATAAAAGAACTGGAGACTTCTCTACATTAGTAGAATTAAATTATCTTTCTCCTGAATTGATGACAACTATGAAAATTTCTTCAATTTTCCAAGAAAATTTGGTTTCTTTTTAAGATATCATTAAAATTTAATTTTACCTTAAACTTCTGTAGCGATTTAGATGGTGTTGCAAAATTTTAAACTCTTTATTTTATAATCTAATCTTTAGACCAAGTTAACATTTATATAAAAAAAAGTCATCAATTTTCTTAATGACATAATTTCATTTTAACAGACTATAAAAAGATCTTTATTTTAGATTTGCATTTCCTAAAAGCAAGTAACATATGAAAATATATGCTTGAGGTTTTAATTCAATATTTTACAGCCTAAACAAAAAGTGAGAAATTCTGTTATTTTGAAACTTGCAAAGACAAAAGAAATGTGTTTCCATAATAATCAACAAAACAAAAGCTAAAGAAAGTCATTTCAATACAATTTTGTCATTATACAAAATCTATTATTTAAATTTTCTAATTTAATCTTTTCATATTTATTTTTTCATAAAAAGAAAAAAAAGTCACATTATATTTTCAAAATTTTCTGATATTACAGGGTGGGGAAACAAAACTTTCAAAATTGCTACAACATTTGAAACAAATAATTTATTCAACAACTTCCATTATTTTCAACTAGAACCTAAACACAACCACGAAAAGCTGTGTGACTATTTACCACAAACACCTCAGATGTCTTGTCCCGCTCCTTGAATGATGGTATTGATATTAGGGTAGGAGGTTTTGTTGATGACCTACTCTATAACACACTACACATAGTCAAAGGTTTGGATCTGAGATGGAGGTGCACCAGAAGTCCACTGGTTAGAAATATGCAAAGTTTGCAAAACTTTCTTGACTGTGTAACTAAGAGCACCACCCTGGGTACAAACACAGATAGCCTTCAGGACTTTTTGTAGTATGTATCAGCATTCACATTTTTTCCAAAATTGTAAAAGAATAGTAGAGAGGGAAATTTTTCTCCCACTGGCAATCACAACACACAAAATCAAAACAATGTTCTGGGTTGGATGTTTGGTCCTGAATGTGTCTTGACATCAAATGTTGAATTTGTAAGAGGCCAGTTGATCAGCAACACATATTGTAAATATTTTCTCATCAGAGAATATTTTAACAAAGGACCCATAATTCTTGAGGTATCTGAGAATTTTCTTGCACCTTTATAAACCCCTGGACTTTATAGTTTCTATGGGGCAGTGTCTTGGTATCTTGGTGTATGATTTAAGGCCCAGATTATCATGTACAGCCATTCTAATATTCTTGGGTTCTACTTTTAGTTCAGCAGCTATAATATGCATGAATGTTGTTTGGTCTTTTGCAATTCTGGTCTTGAAGGCATTAATCAAATTCTAATTTCACTTCTTGTTAAGCCTGCCACTGAATGACATTGTCCATATTTATAAACACTGCAAAATGATACTATATTGTGGATACTTTTAGAGTTGATTTCTGCATGAAGCTATTGCTATTTGTCTTTTAGTGAAGCCATTTTCCATATTTCTGAAAAATATCTATTAATAGTTGACAATATATACTCTTTGTTCCACATGTGGTTTCACATCATGTGGTACAGTAGTTGGTAAGAAATTTTAGTTTATCTTTTACTACAAGTTTTGCTTCTTCACTCTGTTTCATTTTTTTCTATCTACTTAAATTGTTTGTATTTAATAACTTTGTAAGTTGTTTGATTTGTATGAATAAAACTGTTTGCAAAGAGGTCATTTGTTACATTCAGACATGTCAATATATTTCAAAAATGTTTTCTAACAAAAAAATTATTTTTTCATTTTACAAAGACATGTACATATGAACAAAACATATCCATGCCTGCATACAGATTCTAAATTAGAAATACAATTGCTAATTTTCAATTATACTCATTTATATTTTAGTCACTCTTGGCATCTTACACTACAGAACCTGGTTTCTTCATCTCTATAGAATATCTTCAAACTGATATTTGTATCTAATTTAAAATGTGTTTTCCATGTAATTTTTTTGTTGTTGTGGGGGGAATTTTTCTGTGAAAATACAGTTCTATCATCAGGACAGTAAACACAAGCAAAGATGCCTGACTTGAAAGTTCCATTTGATGCTATTAATGTAGATTTGAATTAGAAATGTTAATCAAGATGACAGGTAACTAACTGTAAATCTAATTTCATCCTCTACAGAACTTACTTATCAACTAAAAAAAAAAAAAAAAAGCAAAATTTTAATTTATTAAAAAGAGAGAGTATGTCATTTTGAAATTCACACAGTTAACAGAACATTAAAACAACAGTGGCTAAGAGTAAAAAAGAATGCCAAACATTAATTAACTCAAATTAAAAATGTAATTAGTGTTAAAGAGCTATTTTAATTTTCTTGTTACACAATGTCTGGATGTAGTCTCCACTAATCATATCTTATACATAGACTAGGAAAGAGTACAATGGATTGTGCCAGAAATAATAATGCTTTAAAGATTTACAAGAGTAAATCAATAAAGTCTGACAGGTTATTAACTGAATTTTCATTTGAAATTTTCAATGTATAATGTTTTATGTATCAGATTAATATTCATTTCTGAATTAAATGAAATAACAAAGAAGCAGCTTATGTTAAAAAAATGAATATTCTGTAAAGTAAATGCTTTTAAAACCCCACATAACTACAGATACGCTTATCTGACCCTTTCAAAAAATGATAATTATAAATGAATCAAAGTATCTATTTAAAAAATTAAAAAGAAATATTTTTGAAAAGTAAACAAAGAAACAAAAAGCTTTATGCTGAATATTTTGTATAAATTTGGGTATGTATTTTAAATTTTGCTATATAAACATTCTGTTGCTTAACAAAAAAGAAGAAAATCCAAATTAATTAATAAAAGATAAAAATAATAGGAAATAGATAAGTTAAATTGAGTTAGCTGTCCAAATTGCAATATCTGATTAGCATGAAAAGCAATAAAAATGATTCTTTAAAACTTTTTTTCATATTTTCATAGAAATTTGTTTTCACAATGATAAAAACAAATGTAAAAGTATTAATAAGAAATTAACTGCACTTCTTGTTTGTAAAGCAAATATTGCTTGTCTAATAAAAGTATATTTGACAGAATTACTTTCATCCTTTAATGATGAAAATGTCACTTTGGCTCCAAAAAACAGAACACAATATTCTGTTTAGAATCAAAGACAATAATATCTTTTATGAAGATATAGAGAAACTAAAGTGGTTACAGATCCATACATGTTCAAGAAACTTACAATGTAGGAACAGAAAATAACCATAGTTTTATTTATGTATTTATTTTTAATCAGAGAATTAACTGACTTGCTTTGATAACCAAAATGTATCTATTTCTTCATAAAAAAAAAAAAAAAAAAAACGATTCATCTCACAATCCGCAAGTCAAACAAGCTGTTTGTCTGCCATAGAATGAAAACAGAAAAACTATCAGACCAAAACATATATGAATCAACTCCCTTCATATCTAAGTTATATGGAATGAGTTACAATAAGCTAAAACTTTAATAGAATTTAATCTAATTTAGTGGTAGATAAGACCAAACAATTTAAAAGTTATATGAGCCACACAAATAGTTATGGATTGCTTTCAATCAATGCACTAGGGAAAAAAAATTCCTGCACTCTTGGAGATCTACATGAATATGAACAAAACTCAAATAATACTAGTCAAATTTAAAACTATAACATTTTGGCGAACATAAACAAATATAGACTCTGAGCAAAGATTTAGAAACACCAGATAAATATGTAGATTGAAAATAAATGAGAAAATAGTAATAAATAAGTGGTTCTAGAAAAAAGAAAAATAGCTATTTTTGAAATTATTTAAATGAGCAACCGGGCCAGTTGAAGAGAGAGGATGACAGAAGTTCTGTTCAATATTATTACTATATCAGAATAAGAAAAAAAAAAGGTTTCCTGTTGGGTGGGCAAGAATGGGTTTTGGAGCTGGGGATTAGAATTAGCAACAGAAACTAACCATTTTCTGTTTCTTCATTTATTTCTGATATTGGTCCTTCCCGGTCTAACTCAGGCAGCTCGTCTATATCATCGGTGGTCACAGACACGCTGACGCTGCTGATGTCTGGCGAGCCGAGGGCGGAGTCACTGCTGTAGTGTTTGGGAATGCCAAGCTCATTGTATGGATAGTTCTTTGGAGGTAGGGGAGGTGGTGTTGGAGATGGCACTGGTGGAGAGGTGAGGAGTGGTGGTTTCACTATCTTCGGCTTGGAGGTTGGAACCACTCCAAGCCTGGGAGCAGCAGCTGGAGAGAAGAGCAAGAAAGATTTGGTGTTAATGCAAAAAATAGGACCAATTAAAAAGAAAAATAAATGTTAAGAATGGTTAAAAATCTCTTTTCCTTTTTTTAAGATAAAAAGAACAATACAATTATGTAAGAAACAAAAGATGAATGAAAGAAACAAGAAGACAGTAAAATTCAAAGAAATAACATTAAAAGTCTAACACTAAAATTACTCACTGGAATTACTTCAAGTGAAATAATAAAAACACCAGGTAAACCTTAGATTGATTCATTAATTAATTCTTTAAAAAATATCAAGCCAGAGAGGCTTTTGTCAGGACCTAACTGGACCAAAGTACATTGGCAAAATTTTTGAATTAAAAACTTTTAAGACCATCATATAGACCAAAATGATAAAGCTAAGTCTTCTGGTTCAGGTTTTAATTCAGGTCTGTTTGAATTAGAAAATAGTTCCAAATACAAGTGAAATATTAATGATACCAAATCTTTGAAGTCTTGTGAAAGAAGTTAGCTGAGCAAAATATTCTTTTTGATATCAACTTTAATTTCTAATATTTTCAAATATTGTTCTATTCTCCAGTTTTTTTTGTTTCAAAATGTATAATTCTGATTTTCTTTAAAATTGATATTGAAAATCTTATGTACAAAACAATAACAAATCATTACTAATATTTCTGAACTTTTTCTCATTGAAAATATAGTAAAATGTTTAATTGAGAAATTGCATTCTCTATCCAAGATTCTTCTAAAAAATAAATAAAATAGAACTATAATATTTTAAGGAAACATTTAATAAAAATAGTCTATTAAATTTATAAAATTAAAACACAAGTGTTTACTAATAAAATCAACCAACAGTGATAAAAGTGAAAGAAAAACAACAGGTAGTATAGTTTTATCATTATAAAAAATGATTTTTGCCCTGCACTAAAAATGGAATGAGACAAAATACTGCTTACTATAATGCTACTTTAGGAGTTTTGATGATTTTTTTTTTTTGAGAAAGATAAAGTAATAACAAGGAAACATCAAGAGTAGGAGAATATTAATGTAGTTAAGAAGGAATTTTACTAAACAAACTTAATAAGTAAATATTTTGATCCTTTCTCAGAAATTCCCACTGAATTGCAAGTAACAAAAGAGATGCTATGTTATCATCAGTTATTTGCAATTCAGATATAACTAAAATCCTCATGGTTTAGAAAGAATATAAATGTTTGAGAGCTTAACAGATAATATACACCAAGTCAGAATTTATTATACAAGTCAATGTTTACATAATGAAATTTGTCTTAATTGGTATGGATAAAATTTTCAAGATATTTATATGAGCAATATATCAAAGTTTCTGCTTATAATAGCTATCCTTATTAAAATATTGATAATAACTTCATTAGAGGTGGGTGGGTTTTATTATGTAAACAAACTAAGTGTAGCATTTTATTTATATATAAATCCAGAAGAGATAGGTTTGATTATTATATTTGATTAACATGGTACTTCTGTATACCTAAACAAACTTACTATTTTATATGTTAGAATGGCTCCTGGAAATTCTATAACCTTCATTAGTTTTTTATCTATTGATTCTATTATTTTTTTCTATTTCTGTTTCAACTTTAACATTACTGGCAGATTTTATTGCTTCTTAAATGTCTCTTTTGCTTGAATAAGGTTTTCCAGTCTAATATGCATCTCATTGAAAGATGCACTGCAAGTTTCTTTTGGATCAATATTCGTAAAACTGGGAAACTATTCTATTAATTTGGTGTTTTTAAAATGTCTTTGGGCAAAAAGAATATAAAGAGCTTTGTCTTGCATGAATATAGTCTTCAGCTCAAGGATACTTAATTGTCACCTGTACCACTCAAAAAAATATCCTGCCCAAGAATTTACAATAATTCTTTGTATTTATGTAAATATCATCAAGTATTAAGAAACCCTATAAATTTATTTCTTACAATACCACTATACCTATACTGTTGTCTTCAAAGTCATGTCCATTCACTATTTTTGTGAAAGACCTAACCTCAAGTTCAAGCATCAGGTTTATCCATTGTACATTCATCAAAAAAATTCCTGTTGAGCAGTCAGTTTTCTTCTTCTTTGCCCAATTTACACATATCTTTTTTTAATGTTTACTTAAATGTGGTAGTTTCATTGCTGTCATGTCTTTAGCTAATTTTCTTAATTTTCTGCATCTTTGTTTCTCTATTTACTTTTGAAACACCAGTTTCTTTAAATATTTTCTTGCTGGTCAATCAATTTTTCTTGGTTATTTTAAGAAAACTTTTTTAAAGTTATATCCCTTTAGAACATAGGCGATCATGGCTCTCCATAAATTGCTTTTCTTTATTATCTGTGAATTACTATAGTTTTTGGGAAAAATAATAAATTAATTTCCAATTGCCTTTCTCTACAGTTTTGATTTGGCTGTCACTTAAACATAGTCTAACCTATAATTTAAGAAAGGAGTGGAGAAAAAGTGAATTCAGGCTTTTCCCAAGTACATTTAGATATAAAGTGAATGCAACAGAGCAAGTTAAAATTTGAATTCAGCATGCCAAATCCTCTTTCCACTCTGATGAACATTACTCAACCTGCACATCCATTCTTGCTTATTACTCTTAATTTTCCCCAAGTTTCTCTGTGGAACATTCTTAAAGATTTTCCTTATTTAGCCAATGTTTTCATTTTTATTTTTTATTTGGTCTTTATTCAACTTTTGAGCAATTTCCAAGATTGTTCCTCTTACTCGATATCTTTACCATATCTTGGTTATCTTTTTTTATGACTCATGATAATCATTATATGTGTGAACATTCAAAAATATTAATAACTATACTCTGACATATATATAATTCCAATATAAGGAATAACTCAAATTGTATATTAAAATCTCATGCTATCAAATAAATTAATATTTCTAATGAAAATATATCATAAGCTAAAATTTATTTATCATACCTTGGTTGGTCAATAGCAATTTTATTAGTAAAACATTGACTTGCATAATAAAATCTGACAGTGTATAATAAATAAATCATTTATTTATTGCATTCACTTCATGAACAAAAAAAAAATCTTTGTAGAAGTAAATAATACAATTTACCCAGAGATCATAGTCTTCTCTCAGAGGATGCATACTTCAAAAGATAAAAGATCACAATTCAAACAGTAAGGTTCTAATTAGTGTGAAGATAATTGAAATAATCTAAGCAATCAAATCCTTCCTTTTGCTGACACTTGGTAATATAATGTAATTAAGCATAATGAAACATTACTAGTGATGATTGCCATTTCTATATATCATCAATGTATTATTTCATAACAGTACATGTCCATATTTACACAAAACCTTCTCACACAGCAAGAAAATTGAAAAGGAAGACAGTAAAAGCCATGATTAGAGCATCAGATATTCAGCCTGAATAGATTTAACTGACAGTTATTTGTTTCTGAATATAAGTTCAATTCTCTTTGGGAACTAAGAGTGGCAGATCTTTCATGTCTTATCCACTATAGTTAAGACATGAGTGTTCTTTAAAGGAAGATGCGATTACCTATCAGTTAAAATTTATACTTTCTTCTGGTGGATTACAAGGGCAATTAATGTGCATTGTGCAGAAAGAATGAAATTGTAGGAGGAAAGGATTTTTTCCCAGAGGAAGAAATAAGAAAGATTGTTCTGTAAATCCCAGAATAATGTCATATTTATATAGGGTACAAATGGATCTCAGCTGAAGCATACAGCAGCATTGATTGGGTAGACCACATTCAAACTTATTTTCTTTGAAATCATTTGTTGCAAATCTGATATAAATTGAGTCAAAAATTTCTCGACTGGGATGAAGCAATAAAAAAAAACAATCTTTATGTATCCAACAGTTACCTAATTTTATTTTCTAAGCTAAATCTATATTATTCAATAACACCACCCAACATTTTTAACATTTCTTTTTGTTGATTGCTTTCAAAAATATTTTTTTTAGATTAATTATAATTTTATATGATCTTCATAAAAAATAGAATAAATGCTCTTATATTTTTTAAATGTTTTGGTATATTATTTTACAATAAACTACCAATAGAAATTTCTAATAAAGTTAGCAAGTATTGCCTAAAACACAAGTCACCTTGATAAAATATTTATTTTCTCATATATGTATTCACCTCATTTTACTAATAACATTTGTGGGCAATTTAAAGGTGACCAAAAATCTACATGTAACTAAAACAATATAAAAATGAATATAAATCCATTTTTTCATAATTTATTACTTAACATACTTGAATAAGACAGATTTCAATTAGGCTGCCTTTTTTGGCAATCCTTCTGGTATTTAAATTATTCACATGTAAGTATATTTATATGTAAGGATAGACATAAATTTTACATGCACATAAACCAATAAATATTACACATAAAAATGAAGTTAAACACAATACTTATGCATGCATAAATACAAAAAGGCCATATATACATAAAGATCATCAAACATCAATTCACACATATACAGAAATGCACATTTAATGCATAACTATATAAACATATGTACATTTGTAAAGATATACACACACACTTCATTTATATGTATAAATGCATGTTCACTTGCCTCTATGAAATATATTTTGAAAAGGCACAAATATATAACATACACACTTTATTTACATATGTGTATAATTCTTGCCTATATGAAATATGCTGGAAAAGATAGTTTTGAATATTTAAAACGTTAGCTAAAAGGCAAGGCATAAATTATAACTCAAGTGACAATTGAACTCAAATGACACAGACATAATATGATTTCTTTCAAGAATTGAACATCATCACTTGCTATTTGCAATGTTTTTGCCAATCTTGGAATATATATATATATATATATATATATATATGTGTGTGTGTGTGTGTACTTCACTAAATATCTAACCAAAAGTAATAAGACTTATTGAGTCATTCTGCATATATAATCCTGATCCTGTCTCATCTTTAGTGATGTGTTCATTCAATGTCATTGCCAACAGAGAATAAAACTAAGCTCAGTCCAAACATATAAAGAGATTCTACTATTTAAAAAAAAAATAATGCTAGTAGGGTGAAGTAGTCAAAAATAGTGTTCAGCAGAATTACATATGAATATCTGCATAATTCTATCATCTCATTTGAACCTTTTACAAAACAGTCTGTTCAATTCACTCTACTCTGAGGAAACTATACTATCAAATTTTATTCTGATATAATTTTTTCCATTATTTCTGAGAGCCTACAGAAACTAAAGAAAATCTCTCCCACCTTTTCAATAGAAGTCTATAGATGAAAAGATTAAAAAAAAAAAAAAACATGAGAAAATTCAGATAGCATAAAGATAAGCTGAAAGTTACAATACTTTTTGGAAGGCATATAAATTCTATATAGCAGTTATCTAAAATTTTATGATGATCTGACATTATTCTTTTTAAGTATTAATTGCATAATGCATATAAACAAGCCAGTCTTTTATTATACTATTATGACATAATTACATTGGGCACCAAATATTTTTCTACTAAGGGTAAAAACATGTGATTCAGACTAAATTGAGTATGCTTATTTTGTTATTCTCCTTCACCAGGATTTTGTGTTAGATGCATGATGGGAGAGACATTGTTCTACAATAGGTTTTGAAAACAAGGATATATTGGATTAAATAGTTATTAATATGTGCCTACCCTGCAAAACAACAATACCAGACCTAGTAGATAAACTAAACAAAATTGAAAAGTTTGTATATTCAATATTTACATGATGAAGAGAAAAAGATTGAAAATACTTTTAAGCTCCTCCAATACCTTAATTATTTTATATTTAATGTGAAACAGGAGTTTCACCAAATTTTAAAAAAATAAAAGAATGACAATACAAACTTAATGAAACGTGATACATTACACTACCTGCCAAATCTGTTAGAATTGGAAAAAAATTATCTAAGCTTAACATAAAATGTATTACAACTACTTTTTTTTTTTTTTTTTTTTTTTTAAGCATTTCACCCCAAGCAAGGCGGGAAGCCACTAGGACGCAAGGGGTTACAGAAAATTTGGAGCAAGATCAGATAGGAGTGATAGAAGAAAGGATGAGGAGAAGGGTAGTGCATAGATCAAGGCAACTGGAGATGTCAATTGACATTACATTTGAATAGCTGGAGATTATAGCTCTCAGGGAAACTGGAATAGGGAAGGGAGTTCCACAGGTGAGAGGTGCAAGACATAAAGCTATTGGAGTAGAAGAGATGGCTACATTTAGGAGTTTCGACAGTGAAGGGGTGAGAGCGGGATAGGGCGCTTGAACTCATGAAGTCTGGGAATCCAGCGAATGCAGCTCCTCGGAGCAATTGCCATGAAAGTATTTGTAAAAAAGACAGAGAGAGGCGACGGCGCATCTGTGAGAGAGTGACTGTAGACGAGATGCCAGAGCAGGGCCAATTATATTGCATATCCGCCTCTGGAGCCTATCAAGAACCCCGAGGCAAACAGAAGGGGCTCCAGACCATATATGGCAGCAATATTCCATGCAAGGCGAATTGTTGATTTGTAGATCTGGAGGATCAATTCCGGGAGAAAAAATTTCCTGGCGGCGGCACAGGGAGCCAACTTTCCTTGCAGTGGACGAAGCAATTGACTCAATGTGTTTGTTCCATCTCAGGTCAGCCGTCAATGTGAGACCGAGCAGCCGCAGAGAGTTGCTCTAGAGAAGTTAAGCATCAGACATTCTAATGGAGGGCAGGGAAGGATCTCTGTGGTGGTTAATAGAGAGCAGTTTTGTTTTTGAAGCATTAAAGTTGACCAGCCAATTCCTGCCCCAGTTCACAACCGATTGGAGGTCCTTTTCCAGACGCACGGCCAGGTTAGTTTTGTCAGTGACACTAGATTTGTTTTTGAGGCAGGAATAAATTGTGGTGTCATCCGCGTAGATGCCAACTTGGGAATTTATGGCATCAGGAAGGTCATTTATGTAGATAAGGAATAGAGTGGGGCCTAGGATGGAGCCTTGAGGAACACCTGCATTCATGGGATAGGAACTGGAGGAGAATCCGTTGAGAACGACCTTCAATTCACGGTTTGACAGGAATGCTAAAATGATAAGAAACTTAATACAAAACAAAATCGTAGTCTAAAACCTGAAGCAGGAATTTGCTATATAAACCTGTAATGATTGTCATAAAGAATGCATAGCAACGACCTTGAGGAATTTAAATAAAAGATATGAATACAAAAGAGATCCTATACAAAACCACACAGTCAATGCATTAGTTGCTCACTATAAGTGTGACCATAATTTTCATTTAAAAAATGCTACTTTAATTAAAGAAAAAGCAATTTACTAAGGTGAAAATGTATAGTGCACTGATTACTAAATCACCCACACTAAATTTGTCTCCAGATTCTTGCAATATTTCACCTTTCTTGGTAGATCTTCTATTGTCACAATGTGGGATATTTAAAAGGAAAATGATAAAGATAAAAACGTCGGGAAACTGAATGAGATTAGCTAAGTTGTATGTCCAGACCCGCCAGATGGGAAAAAAAAAATTTAAATTTAAATTTTAGAAATTTACATTTTTTAAAATTTAAAAATTCTAAATTTAGTGTTCCCACATCTTTAGCACATAATTAAAATTACATTTATATATCTCTCCTCCTCCCCTTACATATATATAATTCCATCAATAAGAACATTACTTTAGTCTGATTAAGTCCTTCTAGAGGATGAAATGCGTTATACAGAATTTTGTCACTTTGTCATTTGTTCACTGTTATAAGAGTCTGTAATATAATCAATCCTGACATGGTATCTCAACTTCAGTCACTTTCCCACTTATGTGGCCTTCCTCTGTCTTTTTTTTACAAATATTTTCATAGCAATTGTTCTGATGAGTTGTTCTCCTTAGTGCCTGCACTGCATGAATTTAAGCGTGGGTACTAGATTGGCAACTAGGTTTCACTGTTTTACTGTTGAACTAGTTAGATGCAACCGTATGTTCTATTCTAACAGTTTCTTTTCTTGCACTCCCTTCTGATTTCTTGTTTTCCCTGCCACCTACAATCTTCAAAGATTTAAATGCAACATCAATTATCATCTTCTGTCTTCTTGGACTCTGTCCCTTT